AATGATTGAAAACTACTTGTCAAGTCATTTGAATGTATTATATTATTTTTGATTTTCATTGTCATCGGAGTTGTCTCAAATGAATCGGATACCTTACTCATTTTCAGACAAAGAGAAGTATGCATTTCTATCTTGCGGTTTTTTACGTAGAGAACCTAAATCAATTGAAATGTTTAAGAGATAGTTTAACACATTTTTCATGAGTCATTTCAAAGAAAACAGAAGAATCTCCTACGACGTGACTCTCGATACTGATTTAACTGACACAATAATTAAAAATATTCTTACGAATTTCTCGTGAAACGAATAAAACAGTTGCTGTTTTAGGTATCACAGAGAAGCGTTCTGACTAGCACCTGTCGGTTTGACTCTGAATCTAAACCGAAAAGTCTGTCGAGTCTGCGCTGGGATCGGATATAGGTCTGGGTCTGGATCCGAAAATTTCGAGTCTAGCGTACTCTAGTCATCTAACAAGGAGGAAACAGCAAATACTTTAGCCTTAAAGTCTTATGAAGCCTTTTGAAGCCTCAGTCATTTCAAATTCTACAAAACTTTTTTTAATTCTTTATGTTCTAGCTTTTAATATATGTTGACGTTTTATAAAGTCTATTAAAATCTGTGGAACTCATTGGAAATCTCCTGAAATCCAGTAAAGTCACATAAAATCTTATGAAAATCGATAGAAGTCCTTAAGAATCTTTTGAAGTCTCTGTAATTAAAGTTTTGAAACCTTGAAGTATTCTGTTTCTCTTCACACTATCGAATTCCAACTAGAAAAACTTTATTGAGAGTATTCAAGCACTGTTTCTAGCGTTGACATAATCTTTAAGACTATCCTTCAGAATATATCATGAGCCAACTAAAGTATTTACTTGTTCAAACAACTTTCTTACACCATTTGTGCGCGAAATGCAGCATCATCAAATGGGGTAAAGCGTTTCCGGTAGTTCCTATTGAAAGCTTTTATGTACTTGTTATGAATGACTCTTGAGGAAATAAGTTGTTACTGATCAAACATTGAAGACCACTGTTGCCTATTTCTGAGTTGAAGAGATCAATGAATGAGGTTTTCCATAGTAAAAAAAAAAGTGAAAGAAAAGACAAACACTACTTGTTGATTGTATGGTTTACGATGAAAAATGTTTCATTCTCGAAATTTTACGATGAACTTGTAATTATCAGGGTTTAGGTAGGTTTTAAATATTAACTGGTCGATGGTCGGGTGGTGAGAACGGGTGAATAAGACATGAATAGTACAGAACCAAACTATTTTTCAGGATGACACCCAAACAATATTGTCTGCAAGAAGAAAGTCTATATTTCTCCTGAGTAGAAGTAGCGCTTTATCTTTATTTTACTTTGAAAAAGTAAAGTAAAGTAGAATAAAATGAAATACTATAGTTTAAATGTGGAAAATAAAGTGAGATAAAGTGAACCAAACAATATTTTTCATGTATTCATAAAAAATTGACTTTTTTCGGCTTTTCTTACTTTTTTCATACTAATTTTAACACGAAGCAATATTGAATAAACTTTGATACGTTCTAAGATTACTTATGCATGATCCTGACTAGGAAATTGCGAAAAAATTTAAAGAACGCAATTTCATTTTTTTTCACTTTACTTTACTTTTTGGGTAAAGTATATCTACTTTACTCTATCGGGTAAAGTAAGGATAAAATGTCATCGTTACTTCTGAGTTAAGAAAGAGAAACCAAATGCTGCCCAAAATACATATCATGTGCGTTTCATTAAAAAATACTAAATGCGCAGCAGTAAGAGCAAAGAGAAATGCGACTCACAACATTGTACAATACATCATGTTACGCATGATCCAACATTAATCATCGTAAAGCCGTAAAGAGAAAAAAAGCAATCATGACGACTGCAATACGTTTTCGATCAATAGGATATAATCTAATTATACGGTTACTGACACTGAAGGAGAATATATTTCTAGTATTGCACATGCTTGTTCGCGAATATCTCAAGTCCGGTCAGTATTAAATCCAGATATTTTTCATTTTTCCGACGTACTGCTTATTTGTGTGCATGGTCCAATTGATGCCTAACTTTTGAACTCATACTTTGCTTATAGATAGGATTTGGTCAAAGGAAGAAAAATCGAAAAATCAAAAGAAGCGTGCACAATGTCTTTAGTTGAAAATAACTACTGATGATTCATCTTGAATCGACTAAAATGCATGAAAAATGTTCGTTTACTGTTGAATTATTCTTATATAAAAGAAGCATTTCATAGTATCACAGAGTGGACCATCGAGCCAAAAAGAGCTTAAATGAGAAAACATAGTCAATTTATTGTTCTACCGTTTAATTAAAAAGATTGAGAAGATGATGTACAACTTATCCGAGACTAATCAAACATTTTTAACGATTTCCATGTTTTTGATGAAAACATCTAGTAACAGTTAATAAAATTTCCGTTTAAACAATGAATTGATAAATATACGGGATGCCCAAAAGTCCATAAACAAAAATGGTTTTTTTCGAATAATTTTATTATTGATTAACTTTTATTAACTAACTCTTCTCGTATGATAGGTGACACGATCAACTTTTTATTTCTGTAGACAAACTAAAGAAGTAATATTCAAAGTAATTACCTCTAGGCAAGATAGAAAATTTCAACATTTTTTCTGAGTTCATAATGGTGTTTCGTGGAGTTTGCTTTTTTTTTTACTTTGATTTCTTTATATACTCTAATCTTTGAATTGTTCAAATTTTGAACAGTCGTTTTATAGAAATAGTTTGGATGTGTTCTCATAAAAGAGATCGAATAGTGGTGTGTGAAGTCGAAAGTCATGCAGCTAAAAAAGACACGCTGTGGCATATTATTATGAAATTAGAGGCTGGATTATTGCAACTCGGTTATTGATAATTACTTTAAAACACTTTCATAGATTGTCTATCGAAATAGAACTGTGATAATGTCACCTGTCATATGAAAAACATTAGCTAATGAAGATCTATTAATAATGAAGTTCTAGGAGAAAAAAAATTTTTGGATAGAAACTCTTCGAGTATTCTGTACATGGTTCATGTCGTTACTTGAAAAACAACTATTCCAATAGGCATAGGTGTGGATATGGATGAGAATGTGAGACTAGTCTTCTTTGATACTCACACCCAAATCCATTTTCACATCATACATTCACACTCCATATCTATACTCTATCGGAATAACTAAATGAGAAAAAGAAAACTAAAGTCAATTATCTGATTCTAATTCTCTTTTAAAACAAGCCATAACTATTATGGCGTATAAATGAAGACAAAAAAGTGTAGTTAAGTTTCTCATTAGATTTGCATTATAGAATGTGCAAGAACTATTTGATTAACTAAACAACGCAATGGAAAACGAAGGTTAAACTAGTTTTTTCAATTTTTCTCAGAACAAACGGGAAGATTACAAATATAGTGAATAGAAGGCAAGAATACTAAACTGAGTTATTTGATTCTTTTGATAAAATGTGCGATCACTCTCAATATAACTCATAGGTTAAAGAGAAAATTAAACCAAGCAAACCTTTTAGATTTTTCTCAGAAAGTGACAAACAATACTCAGAATAACTAAATGAAGACAAAAAAAGGAGAGTGCTTCGTCATTATATTGCTCGTATAAAATTCTAGGCACTCATGAGAATAAGTAAATTGAAAAAGAAATGAAAAGTGCTTCGTCATCATGTTGCTCATATAAAATTCTAGATACTCATGAGAATAAGTAAATGGAAAAAGAAATGGAAAGTGTCTTTTCGTCTTCTATTGCCTCCGTCAAATTCCTGGCAACAATCAGAATAAGTAAAAGAAGAAAAAAAGCGAATGAAATCAGCTTTCACCGTTTCTATACGAACAAGCAAGAAGACGACTAACATAGTTAATAGAGAAAGAGGATACCCAACGAATTGATTTTTTTTGATACAGTGCGCCATCAATCTCAGGACAACTAAATGAGGAAAGAGAAAACTAAACTAACCTTTCAAGTTTTTCTCAGACAGTAGTCAATAATACTCGGAATAACTAAATGAAGAAAAAAAAAGAAAACTTTTTCCTCTTCTATTGCTACTATAACATACTTAGCAATTATGAAAATAAGTACGGGAAAAAAAAGAAAAGTAACCTAGATAAACTTGCTCCATTTTTCCGGTAGGAAACAGAGAAAGAATTGAGTCAATTAATCGAATTGAAGCAAATTATAGAAATCTATTCTGCTTTTTTTTCAATAGAGTGTACCATCAGTTCGAGCAAAATGAAATAATAAAAGAGAAAAACAAAAGTGACATGACCTATTTGACTTTCCCATAGGACGACGCACAACGATGAGAATAAATAAATTAAGAAAACAAGAATAGAAGCCTATGTAAAAAAAACATGGAAAAAGTCAAATTATAATCGATTAATTTTCGATTCAAAATCGATTAAAATCATGCACTTTTTCATCGATTAATAACCGATTATTAATCCTGTAAAAGCACGAACAATTGATTATAAACAATAAAACACTGATCTACTACTGTTAACCGGTTATAATTGCTTAAGTTTGATGTTAGTCACTTCTAAATCGGGTGTGGGTGTGGGTGTGGATGTATGAATGAGGAGACTAACACCCACACGCCAACGTGCAAATCAGTATATAAGATAGATGCTAGGGGAAACACGTGACATCAGGACTTCAAAAGATATATAGAGTTCTAGTACGTATATAATATTAGTTTACGATCACATATACTTTTCGGAGTATTTTCTATTATCGTTTTCATGATTTCAAACGATTCTATTTTATCTTGTTTAACAAAATCATAGAAATAAATCAAAGAAATTAAAATTCTGTATACTATTGATGTTATGTTGATAGAACATTGTTGTATAATAAGATAGGTTCACCAATTGCGCTTGAGGTTTTCGTCAGCTATACACATCGCAAAAGTTTTAGATTTTGTGAGATTTGGGCGAAATTTCGGTTATTTTCGTCTAGAGATAGATCAGAAGGGAATAAAGATTACCGTATTGTTCTTTAATGCATCAGCAAGATATTTTGCACCTTCTTCTCCGATTTGATTGTAGCGAAGATTTAGTGTAGTGAGTGTCTGTATAAAAAGGCACAGATAAATATATGAGATGAATGATAAAAGAACGAGAATTACTGAATTCTTCTTTAATGCATCACTAAGATGTTGTGTTCCTTCATCTGCAATGTGATTATGGCGGAGATTTAGTATGGTGATTGTCTATATCAAAAGTTGCAAATGAATATATGAGATTGATGATAATCAAATGAAGATTACCTTGTTATTCTTTAATGCATCACCAATATGTTGTGCTCCGATTGCTCTGATTCTATTGCCTTGGAGATTTATTGTGGTGAATATCTGAATCAAATTTTGCAAATGAGTATATGAGAATAATAATAAAAGAATGAGGATTACCGTATTGTTCATTAAAGAATCACCAAGATGTTTTACTCCTTCGTCTCCAATTCGATTGTAGTATAGGTTTAGTATGGTATGTGACTGCATAAAAAGATGCCGATGAATATAATCATGCGATAGATGGACAAGGCATGACGGTAATGAAAAAAATTTTGTTCTTTCTCTTTGTCTTTTTGATCAATGAATCTCCAGTTGGTGCAGAAATTAAGTATGTCACGAGGACTACCTCTGATAAAATTTTCAAGTCCGATGATTGAGATAAGAATGCAGTGTTACTTTTCTATTCAGATCTTCATCCACATTCTTTCTTTTGCAGCATATGAGGATAGTTCTGAGAATTGTAGTGATGCCTTAAATATGCCCTCGCTCGCATTCAGGTCCATGATGTTCGGATACCTAAATTTAGCGGAAGCCACAGCATCCAATAATAATGTATTTATTTTTCTTTGGGGCAAATTTTGCTTTTTTTCCTTATTTTTGTACTGTTCTCAAAAGATTGCATTTGGATAGGAAGAAATAATGTCATCGAAATACGGTAATTAGCCGAAGAACCAAAGAGAAAAAAAAGATAAAAGATAAAAGAATGTTTTTTTGTATATGTGAGCATTTTTTAGTAAATGATTTATTGTGGATCTTTCGAAAAGATTAATGTCTTATAGACTGATTTGTTTTAGTCTCTTCAATTTTATGCCGTTCATATGTTGTAGGAATGAAAAATAATTTAAAAGTTGATGAAAATGACAGATTTATAATAGAAGAAAATAGTTTACCCCAGGTCGGCGATAAGTGTCTACGATTATATTGAGTCGTTGACATACATTTTGCATTGACCGTAAAATGCTATAGTCACTGCACTGATCAAGAATCCGATAGACAAATTCTACTGGTAATGTAAGGAAAGAAACGGTATATTTATTTGACATTAACGAATGTTGTTGAATTGCGTTTTGTGTAACTTTAATACATTGACTATATGATGGGTTTTTCTCTTTCTTTTTCCGTTCTCCTTAAATACATTTCTCCTGATGATGTAATTATATGTTTGAAGAAAAAAAACGAAAAAATGGTTAGAGTATTCATAAACTTTGTTTTGGACAAAAAAAACTTTATGTTCTCCTCTTTCAAATGAAAAAAAATATTAGGGTTAAACTTGTTTAGTAATAGAGTTATTTGCATTTCTTAAATGGCCATGACTTTTGGAACACGCTGTATACTATGATGCTGACGCACTACTACTACTTTGTGTACGTTTGATTGATGTTTCAATTATCCAAAGACCAAGTAGATCAGGATTACTAGATGCATTATGTATTCCACGTGCTTTTATAAAATATTTCAGAGCCAATTCATATTTATCAATATTGAATAAAGTAAACCAAGACTACTGTAAGTTAATGTTAAATCTTGATGACTTGTTGGTAATGATTTTCGACGTATTTGTAATGCTTGAATTATCAACTGTAAACCTTCTTCATTATACGTGCCCTTTATACATGAATATCACAATTTTGATTTTCATCTTAAAAAAAACGCTAGTTGCTGCTGCTAATTCTTGAATTAATTTTTGATCTGTAATTGCTTTTGTTTGATTTTGTAAACTTGTTTCATATATGAATTTTACTTAAACCAGTATGAGGATGTGGGGTGTGGGTGCGGATGTAGTAAAGAGAAGATACCCACACCCTTAAATATTGAAAAAACGCAATCATTCATTTTTCTTTGTTTCACATTTTGTCAGATCAGAAACGGGAAAGATCGCATCTAGCGCATATTGCAGAGCAAGAGCTTCTCTACAAAACTTTACACATGGTTATGCTTTGAAATTCCATTTTTCTGAACTTTTATTTATTACACGAGTGTATACTATGATTTAGAAGATATGTTGCATAAATGAGATGATCATATGGTCGAAGTATTGAGAAAACCACAGTCTGTCATAGGCAAAATGTAGCCAAGATCAAGGGTAGTCAAATAATATGAAAGATGTACATATAATGAATATTTTTAAAGTTTAAATCGAGAGCTTCATTTTTCTATCAAACCTTTATTTCTGTGATTTGTACAAAAAACGTACAATATATCATCTTTTGCATGTATGATTTTTCAGTCGTTTTGAGAAAAAGAAATATTTTAGTATAAAAACCAAAGGTCAGTTTAATCTCCAAAGAACCATTTAAAAGAGCACCTTTTGCTGTGCAAAAAAACATTATTGAACATGTTGTCCCTAGTCTGTCTCATGATAAAAATTCCAATAGATTGATGCTTTTTGCAACAGTTTTACCCTCTGTTCTCTCTTTGGCTTACAAAAGATTTATTTTGTAGAATTCTATTACACTGATCAATTTATTTGAAATCAGTAAAGATCTATACGAATCATTAGGAACAGAAAGTACAAGTTTTTAAGGGAAAATATTAAAAGCGATAAAAAGACGTTTGTGTCACATTAAGGGTTTTCGTTGGTGACTTTTCTGCTGTAGTTCGCTGCCGACAACACTTACATAGATGTCTGACAAGTGGAACAAGTATAAGTTTAAAGATGAGAAAAATCAGACCGAAGACTTCAACACACATAATAGTGAATAGAAGGTCGTTGAAGACAAGCTCGGCCTCGTCGGTAATCGGCCTTTGTGTATTTAATACGTAAAATGGCGTCTCATATATGACCAGAGAAATAATTGTATTCGAACTCGTTGCATATATATATTCGTGTTCTTCAGCAAATATTTGATTGACATCTGCAGAGATATAGGGTAACCAGAAAGCTCTCAATAGTTTCGCATCGTGTTCATGAAGTGGAGAAGTTCGATTAATCACTTTGGTAAGCTGCATAGTGAACGATGGTTGCTCTGTGAGTACACGACCAACAACTGAAAAAAACTGAGCGAAGTTGAGATCGACAAGCGTGTATTTAGCTTCGAGAGTATCATTCTCCTGTTGGACACCCGGTCCTTGAAGAGCTAGACGAACACCACCGATAGTATTAATACCAACGAGCAGAAATTCTAAATTCATACCATGCGATGGTAATAGAACTGAAAATGATAAGCTACCATTGCTGTTACTGCATGACGAAATGGGTAGAGGTAGTTTTTTGTCCTTTATTTGTGTTAATGTTACATCGGTGCATCTATAGAGCGTATTAACGAAGTCAATATGCAGCGTAAATGGCTGCGCGTTGAGAAGTTCAAATATGGGTAATTCATCGTCATTCGGCGAAATCATAAGAGACATCAAGCCGGAGCTGAATTGAGCATTCGTCAAAGTAGAATCACAAGCAAATGCAACATTGTTATGGAGATTTTCAATTGGATAACGCTGATAATACGTACTGCTGAATACGTAAGCGGATATAGAGAGGAAAATAATTGCAAAACTAACTATTCCGCCTAGGAGCCATTTGAAAATGTCTTCATCACTTATCGACTCATTTTATACTCCTCGAACATGTCATCAATCCTTATCAGCCTGTCAAACATCACCTCTATTGATTGCGTCATCAACAAGTGTAAACTGTTCTGAACATTAGATTTCTGTTTTCAAGATTTTGATATGCAATACCTAAGCCAAACTTGAAGCCTCACCTCTTTGTTGGTTCCAAATGTCTATATTAAGTTTTTCTACGTGAAGTATGCTTCAAGATATCATAGTTTTACATAAATGAAAATATCGAGATTCTTCTTGGGAATGCAGACTCTATACTATTTAGTTCGTTTGATCCATAAAATGAATAATGTGTGAATACAGATTATGAATGTAGGTTGTTTAAAGAAGTTCCATGTAAATTCTTCAAATGAAAACTATTTTCAATTGCATAAATAGAAAATTATTTGTAGAAATATAGTTGTTGATTGTTCTTTGTAGAAAAAAGAATACTATCGAAGTACCATACATGAGCTTAAATAAAATGTGAAAATTTTCATTCAGAGTTTCTGATAAGGATGGGAATATTTCGAACTTACAGTACAAGATTTCGGAGCTTAAAATGGCGAAGATTTCTTCATCAATACCAGATTTTGTAACGCTATTATTCAACTCATTCTATCTCTTCATGTCATCGACTGTAACTTTTCGGTCCACCTCTTCTCCTACATGACGATGTCATTTCCGAATGAATTCCTATCCATAATTCACCTTCACCAACAAGATCGGTCTGCTTGAAAAAACGTTTGAGTTGATGCTGTGTTTTCTTTCCTCGAGGATGCCTGATGCAGTATTTGAGAATCATCATAATAACTACGATGAGAATACCTAATAATATGATGATCAATGACCAGAAGAAGGCTGATACGAGTAGACAATGATTTGATGAAGAGGCATGAATAACAAACATATTTTCCATTAGAATATTGTCAAAACGAACTGACTTTGGCGACAAAGGGTAGGCACGTGCTTGATTGATACTTGTGAGTAACAAAGAAGACGAACTAATATTTCCGAAGGCGGAGCCTAGTGGGCAAAAAGTATCGTTTTCACATAATACACATGATGATTGACCAGTTAGACCATATGTACTGGAACTCTGAGGGCAAAGCAAACATGGGTGAATGTCAAACTGAGAGCTGAAACTACCGCCGATACATGGTAGAAATGACGAAATCAATTTAGTACTACTGTCTGAGAATGAACCGGGAGGTGATGGGAGAAGAATGTAAATGTCTCCCTGTGAATCTAACATTATCACAATACCACTTTTAGTAACAGTATGCGCTATTAGAATAGGACCAAATCCTGGTGCTAATGTCTGTTGAGCATTTGGTATAATTGACTCGATGACGAAACTATTGTTAACATTCACATTGTATGTAAAGATTTGTGATGCTGACCAAACGTAATTGAGAGAGTATGTATTAACTAGTATCACAGCAACATCACTATTGAGCCAACCGACTGTTTTACCCATTCCTATTGCCTTTCCATTCGAGAGTGATTGCGACGGTAAGAGAAACTTTAGAGTGGTTGGATCAATACTAAGCAATATAATAGTATTTGTTATTTGAATTCCAAGCAGA